CGTCACCGACGCTGCTTTAGCTTCGGCCGCCGCCATGACACCGCGACGAGTCTGTCGCGAGTTCTGATTGGCCATTAGAAATACCAAATAATTATTATATATAAAAACATTATTTTTGTTATAAAATAATACACACATATTAAATATATATAAAAATACTACTCACCAACAAATTACAATTGAATCTCAATTAGAATTACGTTTATAGGTTCACAAATTTCCTTTTGATAAATTTCCATCGAAATACCATACTCTTTTCTCCTTGGAAATATAATATTGTACAGGATAGTAGATTGTTGTTGTTCCATAATTGATGATTATTTATTGTATAGTCAACTCCTCTGTAAATTAAAAAATTATATATATATATAAAGAATAATTATATATGAAGAAGAAATTTTGTCTAAATCTACCTACCTACATACACACACACGTGGTTCCATTTCTACAAGCATGTTAATTCCTGTGGAAAAAAGATTTTCTTCATTAATAAAACACAATAATTGGATTGAGTGGTCAAATAATATATTATTAAAAACGTACCTGCTGCGTATGTATGGTAAAATTCAAGAGGAGGAGACACGCGTTGCTTGAAYGAGACTGAGAGTACTGAATCAAGATGGCTACCTGGGAAGAAGAAGCCGGCAGTACGTCATCAACGCTGCTTCAGCTTATGCCGCCGTCGTTGCCATGAGACCGGCGAGTTTGTCGCGAGTTCTGATTGGCCAATAGAAATACACATAAATTACGCACATGTATATTGCGATATGTAATTAATGATTTTAATAAAATTCTAGATTGATATAAATATATATTTATTTTGTGTTAAATATTATAAAAAAAAGGGAAATAGGTTACTACTACGTATAAATTTAATTATTTTCATGATTATCATACAGAGAGAGAGAGTTGTGTTGCATCTGATGTTATTTTGTCGACTCATACACACACACATACACAACCTCTTTAATTTTCAACAATCTCTATCGAATGAAATAAATTGTATTTAATAAAACAGTTTTCAAACTGAAATAATAATTTATAATATTCATAGAATCTTATTTTATATTTTATTTTATTTTTACATTATAGTTTAGTTATATGATGGGGGGGGCTTCGCCCCCACACCCCCATGGGGGGCTCCGCCCCCTCAACCCCCGCCGGGGGCTGCGCCCCCGGA